CCCCCCCCTTGAAAAAAAAAGAAAATGCCCCCCCCCCCCCAGGCTTCAAAGAACCATCGTATATTCTGAATGCATCAGTTCATACATTTACTTAATCGTATGACCCCACAGTAAACTCATGTCTCTCAATCTTACTTAATTATAATTATCCATTATTTTTACCTTATTTTAACTGTATGATTATTGCTTTTGGTCTGAAACTTGGACAAAAATTCTGGTTCTGGCCTTACAGTAAATAGACCATAAACAAACTTATCGATAGATTGACTTTTTAAAAAGATGTTTATGATTATGTTAAAATTTCCCTTTAAAACCACTGAAAATACATGACAAACTAATTGGGAAAAAAATACATGTTAGAATAACCACTGAAGTGTTTTAATGTAGTTTAATTGGGTAAAATAAAAAGGAAGGTTTTAATTTATTTCACTAGAAATAATTAATCGGCTAAAATAAGGGATTACCCTAGAGTTTAGTTAACCCTAGAGTTTAGTTAGAGTTAGAGGAATAAATAAAATATTCAAATACTAACTAATAATTAAAATAAAAATAAAATAGTTATACTGTACACTGGTACTGTATAATTTATTATAATAATTAAATAATAATAATAATACGACTTAATTAATTAAATTAAATAATAATTCTTGTCTCATCCTACTCATACTGCATACTATACTGACTCATACTCATTGTTCATAGGCTCATTCATACTCATACTCATACTCATAGTCATAGTCACTCATACTCATGACTCATGTCTCATGTTGTAGTTGTTCTAACCCTAACTGACTAAATTCTAAATGTAGCACTCTTAACTCTATAATTATTACTATTATTGGTTACTTTTACGGCTTAAAATATTCTGTGCATTGAATTATATCCTTGTTCGTGAAGACGTGCAGTTTGTTTAGTATATTCACTGTATTTTACAATTGATTTCTACTTTCATTATCGTTTGTTTGTAAAGGTCAAGGGTTGAACGGAAATGTTGTTTTTAAGTTATAATCTCGCACATTAATCACATACCTAACTATTTTTAAACTCTTCTGATTGAATAAATATATTATAAGAATGCAATTTTAAATTCTAAAATTATAAAAGCTAACATAATAGATTACTTATCTGGCTTCTTATTTATTTTACAAATAAGAATAATATTATTTCTCCGTATCAGTAAAGGGGGGTAATTGGTTGCTATTGGCAACATTAGTCAACCAAATTTGCTTGGTTCGATGTACCATTGAAATTTCACGTATGAAAACATATAAATGGTTTCAGATGTGTTATATCATTTAAAGGGATAAATACTTCAAATTTAAACGTAAGTTTGATTTATATTGTGCTTATTTTGATAATTATTTGGCATATCAATTTTTGGGAGGCTTAGTTTGGCTAAATTTTAGTCTAAATTTATCCAGTTACTGACCTGTGGCTGTGTTATGTTAATTTTTTTTTTGTATTTAATTTAATTATGTCTGTAGCTAGCATAGGCCTATATATTATATAAATTATGCTAAGATATATAAATTAGTAGAATCACTGATGGTTAAAAGTTTATTTTAGACATAGCAGCTAAATTAAATAGGGATAGTGTTTGTGTAATAAATGTCTCAAACTCAAGTCTTAAAGTAGTTAAAGTACTGTCTTTTCATTTCATAACTCTGTGTTTTTGTTTGCTAAACTTACAACTTTCACTCAACTATTTCTTCAAATTTATATTTACTGCAATCAAGCTCATGCCTTTAAAAAAGTGGGGGGAGGGAGGATATTAAAACCTTCAATACCGTCTGCTTGGTCTATTCCTAAACTACAATTCAAACGCGACAGTTACCATGCATATTGACATGCAGATATTAAATCTAGACCAGATTTTTTATTAAAATTTTACTTGTTTTGATGCTGTATACTATGAATTAGTGTCTAATTATATGAAATATTAAATTGTTTATTTGAGGTTTTACATGATTCGCTAGCGTATCAAAAGTTTGTTCAGGAATAATAATGCAATAAGATAATTTATTATTTTTATTTTGTCATATAAATCTCATTAGATATACCTGGAATTAAAGACAGAACATTGAAGATGTCGATAGCCATTGCACAAGCAAGATATATTTTTGGCCTGAAGCCTCGGGTGTCAGGAAATATTTGCTATCATGATGAGCAAACTATTGTCTACCCCGCTGGAGCCAACTGCATTCTTTATAACATTGATCAGAAGACACAAAAATTTATTCCTGGTAAGGTTAATTATTTCAACATCTCAGTTGATTCAACAATTTTTGAAGTAAAAATTCTACAAAAGGTATAACTACATGATTTCAATCAATAAAAAAACTTTAAAAATTTAATAAATATTTATATACTGTACTGATTTATCTGTATGCTCAGCCCTGAGCAAATGTTCAGAAAATCAAATGAATTGATTGAAGCTTTGATCTACAACATTTATTCGTAAAAAGGCTATTCTGTCAAATAAATGTGAAAAATAATAAAACCAAAATGTCATCACATTTACTTTTAATTTTATTATATCTATTTTTATAGCTGATACAACTAAACGCTAAAAAATCCTCGGAAGATCTCTATACTTTTTATTATTCATTTTTAGTCAAGATTAACTATTTATTTTTGAATTTAGTAAAAATTTTCTTATTTTAAACCCATTTTATAGGTACTGACAAATGTGAAGAAATGACAGCGTTGGCTGTGAGCTCTAATCGGAGGTATGTAGCAATAGCAGAAAAAGGAGAGAAGGCTACTATCACAATTTATGATCTTCACTCCCTGCGCAAAAAAAAGGTGCTCAGTTCCAATGAAGTGCAGTCAATTGAATATGTTAGTTTAGCATTCTCTCCAGATTCAAAGTACCTCATTGCTCAAGGAGGAAAACCTGATTGGACATTGCTTTACTGGACATGGGAAAAATCAAAAGTTATGGCATCAACAAGGACATCAAATCCCCAGAATCCAAACTCAGAAGTTTATCAGGTATGTAAAACTATGTTACTCAGTCTATTAAGAACAATCTTTGCAACTTACTTTATCAAAGAAGAAATTAACAGTACTTGGAGGCAATGGCATAACATGGATTGCCAGCAGCTGGAGCAAGGCAGTTATTGTGCCCTCTAATGTGAGGACCACTCACACATGTTACCTCCAACTAACAATATATATTGTTTACTTCTTTCTCTCTTTTTTTTTTTTTTTTTTAAACCCCAAAAAAATTTTTTTTTTTTTGAACCACCAATAAAATTCTGCAACCTGTAATTTGTGCACCTCTCTGCAACCCCTACTACTACGTTACTACTCATTGGGCTTTGTTAGAAGCTCTTATATACAGCAGGAAAAAAATGATTGTTCTCAATTAATTTATTTTAGATCAGCTTCAATCCTCAAGATAACACCCAGCTTTGTGTGGTGGGCAACACAGTGTTTAAATACTTCCGCTACAGTGAAGGAAACTTAAAGCCTTTCAACTTTCAAAAGACAGAGCCACAGAACTATCTCTGTCATGCTTGGGTCTCTGAAGATAGAATAATCGTCGGCACTGATTCAGGAAAGGTCTTGTTGTTTGAAGCTGGAGAGCTCAAGAAAGAGTTTAATTTGGTGCCAGCGGACTGGTATGTCAATTGTGATCACATTTTCTTGTTCTAATTATGTGCTCGTGTACTCTTTTTGTTCTTTTCAAGTGTTCATTTTTACCTATTATTTTCTTACATGACAAGACATGTTTCTTGTAATTAAATATGAAAGTCCAATATATTTTGGAACCTGTTTTAAAAATATGAACATTTTAAGCATCCTCTCTAAAGCTAAGAATTTAAAGACAATGGAAGGCACATACATTCGTCTCTTCACTAGCTCACAGAACCTGCTGCTGTTCACTCCACTGATAGATGGGCAAGGTTTACAAAAGAGCGTGAATAGAGGGAATGTTAACTAACCCTGCCCATTTCTAAGAAAGGGCAGGGAGAGACACCAATTTAAAAATGTCTTATTTGGTTAGAATGGATATAAAAAATTACATTAAGCCACCCTCTTCCCATCCATTGAAGAGGGATTGCAGGTTGACTCTATCAATTGTATGTAAGGTTTGGAGACAAAACAAATGGGTTTTTCAAAAAAGTATTTGTTAATTAGGCAATCATGAGCTTTCTAGTACAGTCCCTTGGCCGAAAGGAATTAATACAAATGTATGTTTTGCTTAGGTTAATTGAGGATTCAAGTATGCCAGGCAAGATCAACACAACAGCCATAGTCTCCTACTCAAAGGGTTTTGCATGTGCATTTGGTTATGGCACAGTATTCTTGTTTGAGAAAACTGAAGACAAAGACTTTTTCAAGAAGTCAAGAGAAATTACAGTAAGCTCAAACAAATTATTTTATTCTCATTTATACCCTCATGTATTCCATGATCATTTAAAACTGTTCTGATTCAAACATGCCGTCCTACAATTTTCAAATCAAAAGAATTAGGATATTAGTTCGTTTATGTTAATATATATTTCAAATAGTATTTGAATTGCATCTGAACTATAGAATGATTAATTGAGATTTGCCAATTTAATTTCAGATTCCCCCTGATCCCTGTAACAATCAAGATCCATTTTTAAACCAACAACAATTATTTAATTGCTTGACAATCAGTCCATCAGAAGAAGTTCTTGTTGGAAGTACTGACCAATCACAGTTGTTCTACTTGACACTTTCAAGTGCTGACCTAAGTAAAGTAAGTAGCTTTACCATTTTTAATATATTGTGAAATTAACAATTTTAATCTATAACCTTTTCACATACTTTAAGTAAGATGAACTATGTTGGTTTATGATAAAGTAATTGCCATGATGAGATATATCAGTACATTTTTTTTGTGTAACATGGGTTAACCAAATAAAAGGGACATATAAATGTATATTTCAATTCTATTTTCTTCAGGGTGACCAAGCATCATTTGAAGTGTTATCTCAAATTTTTCACAACGCTCCTATCACAGGCCTTGATGTTTGTATCAGAAAACCTTTGATTGCAACTTGTTCAATGGACAGATCTGTCAAAATCTGGAATTATGAGACCTGGTAATTTTATTTTTGTAGTTATTTCAATTTTTATTAGATTGATTTAACTATTCAAAATCTTTTCATGATTGTAGATCACTTGTATAATGTGGTAACGTAGGCTATAACTTCCCTAACATAAGGCAATCCAAAGAAAAACTCATACAGTTTCTAGGTTATGTATTTTATATATCATATAAATAAATGGTACCATCGCAGTGTTTATGGGCAATTTTTGTATTATTAGATGTTGGTTATGACATTAAATGCATATATATCTGATTCATGGAATGCTGCAGAGCTGAAATTTGGTTTACAGTTTAGCCTAATTTCTTCATCATCTTCTTAGTTGAATAAGGACACTTTTTTTATATTTTCTAATGGTGAAGCAATTTTTAAATATATTTGAAATATTAAAAAATTATTGCTGACATTGCATTAAAATGTAATCTTCAGCAATTTGGAGCTTCACAAAGTATTTGCAGAGGAAGCTTATAGCATAGCCCTACATCCATCTGGTCTATACATTCTAGTTGGATTTAGTGACAAATTGCGCTTGATGAATTTACTGATTGATGATATCAGGACATTCAAAGAGTTTACTGTCCGCAGCTGTAGAGAGGTAAGAAAACTGTGTTAATTTCTATTTATTTCTTTTGACATTGTTGCTAGTTAGAGCAACAGTTTGTTATGTCATGCTATTGTTAGATGTATGCTTCCACTGGTCAGCACAAGACAGGTGTGTTGGATTTGCTGACTAAGAGGAAGAGGATTATCACATGAGTCCACCAACTGGGAGGAAGGGATCATTGCTCCATAGACCGGACCATGAGTTAGCAATTGTCAATAAAGTTATAAGATATTCCAAAAAGTAATCTTTACAGGTACTGGCTTTTTTTGAGTAAGGTGTATATGAAATGAACACCAAAGGATGCTACATACTTAAGCATGCACATTGGCACTACATGAAGGCCCTGTCCAAAGAATTTTTAGTTTAAATGGAGTAAAAGCATTTACATTAAGCATTTTCTAAATTTTTTTAAAACATTATTTGTATTTCCTCTAATGCTTTCTCCTTCAGTGTGCATTCAGTAATGGTGGTCACTTATTTGCCTCAGTAATGGGCAATGTAATACAGCTGTACTCCACCACAACATTTGAGAATGTTGCCAACCTCAAAGGTCACAATGGGTAAATAAATATATTTTTGGAATAAACATTATTTATTTTTTTAAAATCTGACTTAACTTGACTTAGAAGTGAGCACTTGAGAAATTCTATTTATTTTATTTAAGATTAAAACTATTTCTTTTACCAATACTATCTAGAGTCTAGAATAGGTCAAATTAAGTCTAATTGGAATAAATAATATAGTGATTATCTCCATTCTATAGGAAGGTATCATTTGCACAAAAGCCTCTGCACATCATATCAAAACTATATTAGCTCAATGGCTTCCAGCGGATTCCAAATATATTTTTTTGTTTACAACCCCCAAAAATTGTTTCATGTCATTTTAAATTTTACAAGCAGTGTGTTTTAATGAGATGCATCTATGAACCCATCACACATCTTTCAAAATCCAACTATCTTACAAGCCAGAGTTTATTAATCATTGTCTTAGCTTAAGATTGGAATTTAATGGAGGGTTTCTTACATTTGTCATTCAGAAAAGTGAAAGCTGTAGTATGGAGTGCAGACGACAGTAAACTTATTTCTTGTGGAATGGATGGGGCAGTCTATGAATGGGATAGCTACAGTGGGAAAAGAACAAGTGAGAGTGTTATGAAGTCTTGCAACTACACAAGTGTTGTCATCACTCCTGATGGGAAAACAACATTTGCTGTTGGTTCAGACAAAACTTTGAAAGAGATAGCTGATTCACACGTGAGTGCAACAAAGAAGTTAACTTTGAGAGCTTATTTATAGGTATAGAAAATACAACTTGATGGAGATGCAAGATAAGAATTCACAGCACTTTTAAAGATGTTAATTGACGTTATTAGAAATCTAATTAATAGAATTGCTGCTTTATACAGCTTAGGTTATCCATACTTTCACTGTAGAAAAGTAAAAGTGCATAGTACAATAAACAAGTTCAGTGGTCGGCAAATTGCGGCTCCTGAGCCACATGCAGCTCTTTGGTGACCTGCGTGCGGCTCGGCCAGCCGGCCACAAATCGGTTTTAACTCCAAAAAACATGGTTCTTGACAGTTTCTTGAAAATAAATTTGGCTCTAAAAATTTTTTAATCATTCTGCAGCTGATTTTTGGCTCTTTTGACTAATGAGTTTGCCAACCACTGAACTAGTTAATATTATGACTATACCTTAGTGACTGATTTATGCCAAAAAAAATGTTTTGAGTATTTGCTTTAAGTGACACAATAGTTCATTTCTTCTTTTTTTAGGTCTTGCGAGAGGTGCCGGCCGGGGACATGACACTAAGTACAGTTGCTATGTCCCATTCGGGCCGCATGCTGTTCGCAGGTACCGTGAAAGGGGCTTTATGGTCAATGAAGTTTCCTTTGGCTGTTCCTGGGGACTGGACAGAATATCAAGGTCATGGGGCAGCCATTGTGAAGGTAGGATTGTGAATGACTTTTGTAGGACTGAAATACTTATAAAAATATAAAAATGATTAAATTTTAAAAAATACACACCATATTGATTATTTTGTAAATTGAAAATTTTCCAGGGATGCTGCAATTTATTTAAAAGAGAATGGAATATTGTCTTATCAAGTTTTAATTTTAAATGTTCCTCCTGCTTTATTTAATGACACACTTTTCTTTTCTGCTCACCAGATGAAAATAACATTTGATGACCAATACTTGGTGAGTGTGGCAGAAGATTCAACAATCATGCTTTGGAAAATCCAAGACAAAGAGGGCAGAGGATTGAAGAGAGACAAGGAGATTGGCTGGGCTGAGGAAATTCTCATTACAAAAAGTGATTTGGAGGAAAAGGTAAATAACAAATAATATTAGATATATATATCATTCTGGTGTCTTTCAAATGAAACTTGTTTAACAATAATGTCTTTAACATTTAGTGTATATTTATCAACTCTTTCCATGTTTTTAAACCCCAAGGTTAATGAATTTTGATTTCTGTCAAGGAAAAGCCCCTTCTTATGAAAATGAATTGAATTATTGAAATGTGTTTTTTCAGAATTCAACTGTTGCAGACCTAAATTCACGTGTAGAAGAATTGAAGATGGAAAATGAGTATCAACTTCGTTTGAAGGATATGACCTACAATGAGAAAATGAAGGAATTAACTGAGAAATTTATACAAGAGATGGAATCTCTGAAGACCAAAAACCAGGTATAATGTTGTGAAACTCACTTATAATATTACCTCATTTCTGACTTTACTTTTTTATACTTATAACTCTAAATGATGACATTTTTATCTTTTGAACCATTGCCTCCATTTTTCTTAATACAATGGAATAATACAAACATTTTAAAACTTTCCTATTTTTTTTGTCAGATATATTTATTTTTTTTTAATTATTATTGTTTTTAGGTATTAAAAACTGACAAAGACAAAGAAGAATCCAAGCATGAAGAAGAGTTAGCAGAGATCATGGACAATCATGCCAAGGAACTCCAAGATTTAGGTCAGATTTTGCAAATCTTTTTTTTAGAATACAAATAAAAATTTTTTTATTAATTAATTGTAAATATAGAAAAGTTCCCTCTAAAATGTAAACATTTTTTAAAAATTTAAAATTCACTTAGCTAATTTTTAAATGTATCCAGTATATATAAAATATATTTTTGTAGGGAAAATGGTTTTTAAAGGACTTTTCAAATTCTCAATAACATTACCTAAACAACAGCATCTTACAGCAAAATCTTTAAATTAAAAGCTCAGTTGATTTTCCAATTATCTAGTAAGCACAAAGATTTGCAAATAAATTAATTAATTTGGTAAACAACTATCACTTATATAAATTATCATATGTTGGATTCTATTGTTTATAGTCATTCCAACCATTTGTTAAATATCTTCAGAGTCTGCCAACAACCAGAAATTAATGCTGGAATATGAGAAGTTCCAAGAACAGCAAGCCAAAATGATGAAAATGCAAGAAGATTATGAGAGGCAGCTTCAGGAGATGGAGGAGAGCAAAGAAAAGGCCTTAGAGGAACTGACAGAGTATTATGAGACCAAACTGCAGGATATGACATCAAAACTTGAGCAGGTGATTCAATTGGTCTTTCTTAATATCCAACTATTATTTTAAAAAAAGAAAGAAATAATCTTGAATTGGACATGTTACTTTACAAGAACTCAATAACTTAAAAGAAGTTAAAGCATTTTTTTATTCCACTGTGATTAACATACATGTTTTTACATACAGTTTGCTAACATGGAGGGGAAAAAAGGGGATAAGAACTGATCTAATAATATTATTTTACATTTAAGCATTGTGCAAAAACCAATTGTCAGCTATTGTCAAAAAACATGAGTTAATGAAGTTTCCTGCACAAGAAGCTGCAGCGTCTATTTAATCTAGTTTCATTTTTTTGGATTTTTTGGGTATAAAAGAGATGGATGATATTATTTATTTTTAGCATTGGATATAGTGCAATATCAAGTATATTTCTGGAATAAAGTTTACAGAAAAAGTATTTAAAAATGCATCATTTGATATATTTTTTAATAGTTTCTTTTTGGCTCCTGTTCTGAAGAGAGACTAGTGCAGATTTTTATATTACTCTGCCTGGTTAAAAGCGAGGTCAACTTGATTCCAGCAACTTTGTAACACAGCCATTGGTATGAAATGATGTTTAAATATATTATAAGTATAAATACCTTGTAAAAATAAACATTATTCACAACATATTATCTTCTACCAATAGAGCAATGATGAAGCTCGTCAGCAGAATAGAGAATATGAGGAAACAAAGAAACAGATTGAAGAAGATGGAGATAGAGAAATACTGGATATTAAGCATCAGTATGAGAGAAGGCTAAGGGATGAAAAAGAAGCAAATATGAGGCTAAAAGGAGAGACTGGCATTATGAAAAAGAAGGTAACTGTGCCGGCTAATATTTGAACAGTTGAGAATCACTAAATATATTATGGCTCTTTCCTTGTTCAAAATTAATTTCATGTGTGTGTGTGTTTTAATGACTCTGCCAATGCAAATTATGTTTATTCTTAAAAATCTAGTTTACAAGTCTCCAAAAAGAAATTGATGACCACAAGGAAGAAATAAAGAAACTTCAAGCAGAGACATCAAAACTCAGCAATGTCATCCGCAGTTTAGAGAAAGATATTCAAGGATTAAAGAAGGAAATACAAGAAAGGGATGACACAATTCAGGACAAAGTAGGATTATTTATCTCACTTTGGCTTTGTTTTTTAAAATTATTTATATATGTTCTCATCTGATAAAGGGAGCGGAGCTAATAAGCTAGATACTATTGGTTTTTTAAAAAACGTTTTATTATATTTTAAAAGTTGTAACCTTTTTTTTTTTATGAGACAATCATAGGATTGTAAAGTAGGCATTTAACAAATATTGTAGTTCACCATTTCTTAGTTTTGGATTGTCCACAAATAATCTATACTCAGAAATTTCAAGAGGACTTTTAAAGAGGATAACAATAATGTATTTTTATTCTCCTTAAAGGGATTTTTAATTGAAGATGAACCACATTATTAAACTAAATGTGACTGATTCAAATGTAATGATGGGTAAAAAAAAACAGGGATCTGCAAGCCCTCACTGTGTGGAAAAGGTGAAAAATTTAAGAAACTTGTAAAAGAACAATAAATTTGTTACTGGTTCCTGCTTCAAAGTGGATAGACTCCTGCTGGTCTGCCAAAAGAAAAGTTTGAGAACCCTTCAGTAGAGGATTGGTTTATAAAGGTTTATTTCATACTATGTCTCATTTTCTAATTCCTCATACATAGGAAAAGCGAATCTATGACCTGAAGAAGAAGAATCAAGAACTGGAGAAGTTCAAATTTGTTCTCGATTACAAGATCAAAGAACTGAAGAAACAAATTGAGCCCAGAGAAATGGACATAAAAAATATGAAGGAGCAGATTCAGGAGGTAAAAAAACAAACTTTATCTTAAAGGCAGAAATTTGTTTTGGTGAAATTTAGATGACAGGAAATGGGATAATACTCTTTGAAAAAACTTATTTTAAAATTGAACTCCAAATAACTAAAGAGTCAAAATATGTTAATAAATCACCTTTCCTTAATTAAATTATATCAGTGATAAAACTGAATTTATCAGAAATCGCTGGAAATCACACAAAAATAATCTGGTTTTCATGATAGATCATGTGAAAAGTTTTTATTAAATCGTAAGGAATCACTTTTTTTCAGATGGAGAGCGAGTTAGAGAGGTTTCACAAGCAAAACACTCAGCTTGAACTCAATATTACTGAACTGCGTCAAAAGCTTAAGGCCACTGACAAAGAAATGCATCAAGAGCGACAGAAGGTAAAAAAATATTTTTAAAAGACAATTTTTATAAGCTTGTTCAAATTTCAATAGTTTTTTTTCATTAATAAAAATGGGATTACAAACTGTTAAAAGTTTAAGTGTATTCTTTGTGTTGTTGCTACTAAGTATTGTTGAAATAAAAATGCTTGATTTCACAAATTCAATCATGTTTACATATGGTCATTACTTTGCATTGCCTCCATTAACCTACACATTGATTGGAATGGCAGGTCCGTGATGTGGAAGCTATTGTCCGTAGATTTAAGACAGATCTTCACAACTGTGTTGGGTACATACAAGACCCCAAGATGTTGAAGGAAAGCATAAAAGCGCTTTATCAGAAGCATGTCCAGGAAGACATTGTAAGTTAGGTAGATCTGTAATAAACCAGAGTTGGGAAGTTTGACATCTGATCATGATAGACCATGTTCTTTCTACCATATTTAAATAAGGCAACGCATGCCAGTTTCCGATTAAGTTTTAGTAAAATTGCTTTGAAGTTTAATCTTTTTACACCACTTTGGTTTTTTTAAAATAAATTACCTTTGTATTTCAGAAAGTAAGTGATACAATTGTCAAACTAAATGCATCAAGTAACTTTATTTATAATTATTGCATTGCAGTTTTGTTTCATTTTTGTTTCAATTTGCAGTATTTTATTATTGGTGTGCTATTTAATTGATGGTTATTATGTCTGGAAATAACTAAGCTTAACTTGATTTTTGTAAAATCAATTGAATGGATTTAAGTTCTTGATTTTCAAATTCTAACATTATGATCTTAAAATTAAACATGACTTTATTGCTTTATAATTTGAAAGTTACTATAATAATAATTAGTGAGAATACTCCAATAAAAATGTGTTATTTACTTACTAGTTATACCTGGGACTTATTACAGAAACAATTTTGAACCTGTAATCATAACATTGCATGTGATTTTCAGACTGAGTCTGCAAGTGTGGATGCAGATATACAGAAAGAATTTAGTAGACAAAAAGAGCATCTTGAGAGATCTGTGGCTAGCTTGAGAAAAAAATTAGAAAAAGATTCAGAAATTCACAAGGCTGATAATGTCAGAATTATGCAGGTAAATTGGACCCAACAATTTAAACAATGAAACATGCTGGGCTTGTAAGGAACATACGAAAGAAAAGGAGAATAATAACTGGACAGTTTAATTATTCCTCAAGAGTATACAAATATTTCATAAATGAAAAAAAGTAAATGATTTTAAAAAAAGGGACTTTTTTTTAACGGGGGGGGGGGGGGGGGGTTTACCACTTTCTGCAATTACCAAGAAAAAATGTATCGAACATCAAAAGATATTAAATTTGTATAATAATCTTTTGTCCATTAACAACCTCATTGCTTAGCTAAAAATTAAAAAATCACTTTAATAGAGCTTAAAAATAATATAAAATTCTGTGTTTGTAAATAATATTATGAAAATAGTATATTAATGTAAAATTATTAGTAAAAGGATAGATCAGTGGGATAACATCACATTTTTTTAATCTTATCCACAATTAAAAAAAGAACCAGAAGTGACAGGCAGAGGCGGATTTTATAAATGTTATAAAGTGTTAAAATAAAAAGGTCTGCATTTATTCCTAAAGAGAGCTGCGAGTTGCCAACCACTGTCCAGTATTCACTTAACCAAAATTCCTTGCGCATCTTCTGTACCTCATTAATTTCTAAAAGGACTAGATTTCCATTACTCACACTATTCTTCCTCCAATAGGAAAATGTAACTTTGATTAAAGAGATTAATGACTTGCGTAAGGAGCTGCGAATCTGCCGTGTTCTCATCCATGACATGGAGGCAGCGATGGGTTTAGACATGCGTAACAAAAAATCTGGGCCTACCATCCCACTACCACCAAAACCAGCCGGACCACTTGTTGAAAAGGAATTAGAGGAACATAAAAAGATTATAGAAATGCAACAGGTAAGAAGATGTTACAAATTTGTTTAAAAGTTATAGGGTTGGAGTATTTACCTTGAGCTTCTTAAACTGAAAAATATTGCTGATGGATAAATCAAACTGTCACCATTTTTGTCACAATTTACTTACAACAGCAAATAATAGAAATTGTTAATGTTTCAATAAGTTATTTTTTTATGTTCACCACCAGATGGAGCTAAAGAGACTGCGAGATGAAATCTATGACCTAGAATTAACTCTTGGTTCAAGACCAATTTCTCGACAGCGACTTCCCCCAGTTTCTCCTGTTGCATGATAAAGCCATGCACAGATTATTTGATTTGATAAAAGTCGATTTAAAGACAAGTTTAAAATTCAATGGAGTTGGTAATGATATTAATACCTTGGCAGCTGAGCCAGTTATTAATACTGCTATGTTATACAATATACTATTTTTTTAAAGTTAAGCACCACTAATTTGGTTCAAAGCCATTTTTGGGACCAAATATTTTTTGCTAAACTTTTTACAGAATGTTTATTTGTTAGTTTTGAAATTGTAATAACCCAAACAGAATATAAATCAATAGTTTAACTCAAATGGAAGTTCCAGCTAACTTTGTTATCTGGTTATGACTGTCACATGAAATTTCTTAAAGCTAATGCGATATCTGATATCAAGTGATTAATATTTTTTCAATTTTAAGTATATTTAATAGACTGCTTATAGTTTAAGAGTGCTACGATCTCTTACTATGATGGTAAAAAGGTAATCTAGGCACAGACCGTCTTTCGGTTCTATTTTTGCTTGAAACTTCCCAGAGTATTTCCGATGCATTCATGACATGCACTATTGGCACAAGGGAGCCTCCTGTTTTTGGGACAATCAAAAATCTAAGAGAACAGGTCTCTGTACTGTACAAGGGTGAATTTAAATCTTTTTAAAAAACTTTTAGTTTCAATCCAAAATTCCAACAATGTATACCTTTTCCACACATCCCTGTTAATATACTAGTTATTTAATAACTAATTTATGGGAAAAGGAGTAAGTGAATTCAGAGTTGATAACTCTATGGGAATTTTTAAAAAAAATATGCCTGTTTTTTCCTTTTTAAAAAATATGCCTAATTAAAAATATGCTTACTTGAATACATAAGTATGAGACCTGTATTGATACCATTAGAGCTGAGCAGTAACTTAATATTATCAATATACTGGCAGTGACATAACATTTTCCTGTATATTGAGCATCATCTATTTCACACAAATGATACATTTACAAAATAAAGATTATTTCCTCCATCAGGATGTAAAGATCTGTGATAGTTTGTGAATGTTCACTATAAATAAAATAAAGATGATTTTTTTTTATTTTGGTTTGTTTGTTTTTTCCCTTCCCTAGCTTAAATTCATAAATAAAATGTATACTGTTTCAGCAGTAAGTTGCAACCAGGATTTGATTTTTATCTTTTGAAGTTTGTTGTTTTAGGGGCATTACTGTATTATATTTTCAGTATAAATAGGCTATTGTTTATCAATTTGAAGTCTTTTTGCATAATTCCTAAAGACGTCTTTGCTATTGTCAATAGAAAGAAAAATGAACTGAATCATATCTGCATGCAGACTAATAAGATAAAACAAATTGCAATTACAAAATTAAAATAGTATTTTAATTATAATTTATTCAAAAGTTTAAAAAAAACAAACATAAAATAAAAGCTTCAACACAATTTGAATCTGTCCAACAATATATTCCTCACCAAATGCACAAACTTTTTAAATTATAAAAACAAGTCTTTTAAAAAGAACGACTCTGGGTAAATAAATTTTTAAAAGTTTGTAATCACAATACTAGACGAAATTACTACTTCAACTTTTAAATCAATAGGCTTTTAGAGTGACAACCTGAAATGAGCTGTATAATTCAGCTGAGCAGAGACCAAAAAAAAACTGTGGGGGAATGGAGGTTATTTATAGATATGTTTTTTGTTGACTTTGTACCGCCTTCGAGCCTTTGGGGATGAAGCGTGTTTTTTAAACTTTCAGATCAATATGAAAATGATCAGTTACATTATGTAAACTACAAACAATAACATATTTGTAATGCTTAAGCGGCAATGTTCATATACGTATTACTTCATAAATTTCTGAAACTTCTTCCTACATTTGTACGGAAACTCGTCCAGAATTAAATATCCAGAGGACCTAAAGGTTTGCGACCAGTGCAGCCAAGTAAAGAAGTAAATAATAATTTTGAGTTGATACTAATGCCTGTTGAGTAATAATCATAACATATTTTCACTCACAGAAAGTTTGAAGAGTTAACTTTATGAAAATAATATCTTTAAAAAAAACAATTTTGAAAAAAAACAAAACTTTAAATATTCAACATGAAAAGATTTTGTTCATGAAAATGACCCTTAAATTACAGCCTAAATTACCTGTACACAATATTTTTAATTCTTGAAAACCTTTTTATAATATGATACCAAATACCATTTTAAGTATAATGCAGCTAAAGATATAAATTAATGTGATCTTTTAAAATTGATAGATTTATTATACTTGAATGAATTCTGTGACTGTAACAGGTTGAGAAAAAAAATAAGAAAAGAACCAAAATTTCAAAAAAGTTTTCATAAAAAAAAAAAAAATAAAAAAAAAATTTAAAAAAACATTTTGTTTTTTCAAGACTAATACTACTAGTAGTACTACATAAATGTCATTAAAAAAAAAATCAATTTTGTCCATTATGAATAATTAGAATAGTAAAATATGCACATATTATGAGATTAAGAAACATTACAAATGTTGTTATAATGAAGCTATCCTTTTAAAATGTGTCAGCGTAATATAAAAAGAAACATGGCAGTGATGGTAGATGAATTTATCTATACTTTTAAATATTATGACTTGTCAATACTCAATTATTATGCGAAAGAGCATATATTTACACCTGCATTCAACTACAAATTAGAAATATTTTAAATTTGAATGGGGGTGTAAGGTCACAATCAAAATACTGTATTAAATAGATTTTGGTCTGCTTTTCTATGTAAATATGCTGAAATTTTTTTGATTGACTCATTCAAGTAAAAATATAACCTACCACTACTACTTTCAATTAGTTTTGGCAAAAGCAAGCCCAAGAGAACAATGAGTAAATTATTAACTTTAACACATCTTTGACAACAAGATTAGCATAATCTCATAAGCAATATTAAACTCTTATTATATAACAATAAATACAAAACAGAAGTACTAAAACATCTTCCCACATTCACACTTGAACTTGCATGGATAACATACAATGAAATCAGTGTGATCTTATGTTTCTACAACAAGAATGGGATTATTGCTTTACGTGAACGTGGATAATCCTTGAATTCCTTAATATAATTTCTGTGCTTTCCTATGGCCCAAACAGACATCTGGTAAAAGCCTGCTAAGCAGAACACACCAGCTGTAGAGGTAAATTAATTCAAATTAGGACTTTTTTTTAGGAAATTTATGGGAAAAAAAAAAGAAAAGAAATAATTAAATTACATCCAACCATGAGATTAGTGCTTTAGATTGAGCAAGTCTATTCCCTACACCAGGGGTGTCAAACTCAATCGCTCGGTGCGCCAAATCGCAAATCACAATGTAAGGTTGCGGGCTGAACAGGATAAACATTCAATATTTAAAAAAACATAGGCATACCCGTTTTCTTTCTTATGCCGATTTGTCAGAGCTGGATGTGTGGCACATTTTCTACGCTACGAAAACAAGTAAGTTCGTTTATCTTGGGAGTAACGTTCTTTTTCATTGAGATTCTCATGATGGACTGCAAGTGTAAATCAGTGAAACGATTCCTATGTGATGCTTTGTTAATCTTCATCACAGAAAACAGTTTTGCTCACACATATATGTGCTACCCAACAAGCTCAAGGTTTGAGACGCATGTAGACGAAGCTTGGGTATCTTCAGGAATGAAACTTTGCCTTTAGCGTCCCATTACACTGCGGCTCCATTAGCTCCATCTGCAAATTAACAGGTGCAGTTTCCACGCCTATGACAAATGTGTTATGAGAAAGCTCAAAATTACATTTCTGTACTTCAAAGTCACTAAAGAACTTGGAGCGAAGTAAGCTAAGTTTTTCAGGAAACTGTGCATTGGGAAACACCATAGCGTTGACTTGGATAAAATTGTACGTCAGTCAAGACTTCGCGGGCCTGATATAATTCTACCATGGGCCGGATGTGGCCCGTGGGGCTTGAGTTTGACACAAGTGCCCTACACCCATTTAAGACACACAAAAAAAGTAATAATCTAGCAGATTCTAAATTGATAAATTAAATCCCTTTAAACCTATTTAGTCTTATTGTCACTGAGTGTTATTTATTTTCTATTTAATTCAGATTAGGAGTTAACCAGTTGCTTTTTAAAGAAAAAAAATACCTGGTAAGCATTGTGTCATTATTGTGAAGCCAGTCCATGCCATCACTTCGTAGGTATAGTTAGGACATGAAACAACCTTGAAGAGCCATGTAAATGGGTTTAAACCAGCCAAGGGAATCCGGCGCTCCTTTGATCCTAGGAAAAGAAGTTGAATAAGAAATCAGCTCATTGGCGATAAATGAAAAAAAAAATGCAACTAAAAAGATTTAACAGATAAAAAACACACATTTATAACTTAGATTTCAATTTTTTTTTTTAAATTTTCACTGGCATGGTAAGTTTCACTAAAAACTACAGGTATCATAAAACTGTTTTTTAAAATTAAGGAGGGAAATGAAATTAGTGAATGCCTAACCTGGCGGCCTCAGATTTCTGAGTGCAACATGCACAGAGAAATTACCCAACTCAGCAAACTGGTGTAAAACAAATAGAAATAATTTATAGTTAAAATTAATCATACAATAATAGTGAAATATTTAATTTCTAACCTTAGAGAAGATGTTGATTACTTTTAATAAATAAGTAAATTATTTGATAATGCCACTCTTACAAACTCTTAATTCAAATAAATAATGACCCAATAGTACTTACATTGCACATAAAATTTCTTACAATTTTAGTTGTTTAAAGAATTTAATAGTTATAAAGACAATAAGACAAAAGTTCATAGGCCAAAATGAAAATGTGCTGAGGCATAGCTACTCACAACAAAGCCTGCAAGTCCCAACCATACTTGATTTTCTCCATAGGCTAGATAAAGAATGATAAGTATGAGTATAAATAATACCCATCATGCATTTTTAAACTTTTAGGCAAACTGCTATAACACTCTGCTTTTTATAATGAGGTCAGAGAATTATATTTTTAAAAATGATGTTGGCCTTTCCTCAGTCAAAAAAGACTTATGGGAATAAATAAGCCTCTAAATTCTGCCAAGAAATTATTTATAGCGCAACCAAGGCATTTTCAAATAAAATTGCAAAATAAAAATTAACAGAAGTAGCAAAAATCAATGTCTGTGTGCATCATCCAGAAGTTATTATTTTATTTCTTTAACTTGCCAAAGTTGGCAGTTACACAAACATAGGCCTATGTTCTTTAAATTCTTATTTTGATTTCTCATCCCACCAGGACAGTCTCCCTGTATCTTTTGCCACAGCCAAACTCAATTACATTATAGTATTATACTCATGTGCTGGTAATGATCAATAATATGGAGATACTAAATTATTACACTTACCAGGAGGGGTGTACAAAGGATGATTAACAAAGTATGCAACAAAAGCAGCAAAGCCCCAGTAGTATATGGAGTTCTGGTGAGAGTAAGATTAACACAAAATAAGTTAAATGAATGTAAAATAAGTTCAGTCATAGTCATATGACTAACCGCAATCAAGTGTGACTAATTCTTCTTCATTTCAAATGTCAATGTATTTGAATCAAAGGCCCAAACAAAAATTATTGCCATGATAGTGTTTCTGAACACAATTCTTATAACCTCAAAATCTGATTTTTTAAGAAGATGAGACAAGCTTCACTTTATTATAACAAACTAGTTTCCAAATCCTTACCTTAAAGATGTTAAATATTGGCATTGTTGAGTGAGAAAACCTATGAACAAATAAGGTCTCCAGGAGGCGTTTTGCATAATGGAATGTCCAGCAACCTGCAGCTATTCTGTAAAGCATAAATTTAGTTTACATGCCTTGATATAGCATAGTAAAAAATAACCTAATTTCTAGAATTTTTTTATCTTTAACACAATGAAAATTAAAAAATTATGTCAAAGTTGACAAAATGACACCAGGATAATTAATTCCTTCACTAAACAGACTTCACCATGACATTCATCTAGGTTCATTCTACAAATGATAAAAAAAAAAATTTTTTTTGAAAGCATCTCACTAGACATTAGACCAGAAGTTGGCATGTTCAATTACATCCATGGGCATCCCCCCAGCCATGGAAAATAGATACCTAACAAATGGCACCAAAAAGAAACAGGCAGGGTTGAAAAAGTCAACCCAGCAAGGCAACTAATCTTGGTGAGGTGTTAAAAGGCTAAAATTTAAAACCCAACCTTCAAAGAAAGAAAACAGTAGCCAATTTGGCATGGGAGAAAAAAACCTGCTGTCTATGCTTAGCTACTAACATACATGGATGTACAGCTGGCTTAATTAACATCAATGTTGGACACAACCAGCCTAATAAATCAGATCAGATGAAAGTAGTTGTGTGCAATGACCTCTTAGTTGTCACCAACCGATTAAAAAAGACTGAGGACTTCCAGGTGGTCATTGGTATAAAAAAAAATGTACCACTAACAATAAACTGTACAATGCACTAAGATATTAAAAAATGAAAGTTGAAGGAAGGGATGACCAACAATGACATCTTTTCCACCACTGAAAAGTGATTGATTACAGAAGTTGGTGCTATAGTTCTGTATATATGCGTTGAATCACTTATACCGATTGCTTTATAAAACTGTCATTCAAGTGACCATGCTTTAGGTCAAGTAGCTGAGTAATTTAAATTGTGTACATTATTCAGAAATAAAGGGGTCAAAAATTTAAGAAAACAATTACTTCACAACATCAGCATAGGGCTTTGTGTTAGCACCGATTCCATAAACAAGAGCTGGTCGAGTGTAAAATATGAGGTAGATCACCAAAGGTCCAGCATATTCTGTCAAGAACACCTGAAAGCACATATTCATATGTTGGATTTATTTTTAGAAAATAAAAGTTTAATTTTTTAATGTAGCCAGAGAATCCACAATAACTCAAATGATTCCATAAATCACTAACTGAAGTTTTAAAATTCAAATGTAAGATCCACCCCCCCACACCCCCCACCCCCCATTGAGAACAACCAAGCAGAGAAATTGACTATAAAACCTTTCTTTACCATAATTATATCTACAAATTATCGTCAGGGAATTCGATTGCATTAGAATTTCCCACCTTGATTCTCTCAACAAGTTATAATCAGAAATAATATTTTCCAGAATGTACAATACAAGACAAATCCTATCCTTATTTACCTTGGACATATATTGTTCTTGTTGATACATTCTTTTATGTTCCACCATTTATGGAGTAATTTATTATAAACTTATTGTAACATAATTCATCCCTTGTTAAAAATAGAAAACATCAATACATTTTCCTCTGTGGTTTTATCTTGTATTTTATATTCTTATATCTCTTGATTTGGTGGGATGTAAAAGCAATACACTTATAATTGTATAGAACAGATGAGGGGCGGGCACTATTCCTCTCTGTTTCTTTTCAGAGAGTCTCTGGGGAGGAGAACTAGATTAAATCTGTTGTAATATTCCTGAGAAGTACTCTTCAGTACTTAAATTTATGGTCCTCTAAAGCAGAGAGAGGTTACTATTGTGGGGATCTGTATTCAACCATCTATATTTAAATTTCTTTTTTTTGGCCTTAGATATTGACATTGTTTGCAAAAGGAGCATGAGGGAAGCTAATATTGAAAATGAATGGGAGCTCATTGCCAAACAACGATGCAGCTGGCAAACAGCAGTGTATGAAGGAGTAAAAAAGGCAGAAGATACGCGAAATGAGGCCCTTGCAACAAAAAGAACAATACGGAAGTCAATATCTTACCAGGAATCAATATTCTCCTGCGAGAAATGCAGTCGAGATTGTCATTCTAGGATTGGCCTAGTGAGCCACTCGTTGAAGTGTAGGACTACATAGCTATTCCATCGTCTCGTGTAGATGGAATTATGCCATATATAGATATTGACATGGAATGATGCCCTATTTTATCTAGTCAGATTATCTTTTTAGTTTAAAATATATTATCAATCAAAGAGTAAAGGTTCTTCTGTCTTATACTTACAGTGGCCCAACCAACTTGAGGGCCAAGATCTTTGAAAAATAGTTTGCCCTGATTATCAATGCTGAGACTTTCAAGTGTATCTTCATCCTTGAGCATTTTGCCTCCTAGAATATAAAGCATTATTTTAAAATGTAACAAACCAGTTATCCGAGCTTAGGATATGCAAGTAACCTTGTTGTTACTTCTTTTAAAACACTTAGAAGGCAAAAAATGTAAGATCATATACTTACTAATATCAAGTTTGAATGCTTGTCTGTCAGGGTAATACTTTGGCTCTATAATAAAAAATGGGATTTGAAAAATTACTTAATTTAACACAAATTAAGTCAACTATATTTTAAAATGGTTTCTACTGTTTGGTTGAAAACAGACCTGTTTACTCTTACGATTTTGGCGTACAATGTACGATTTTGAGGTGTATACACTATTTATACTTTTGTTTATTTTTTACTATTAAGATAATGTATTTAACGATTTTGTGATGATATTGTACGATTTTAAGAGTTTGGGGGTAAATAGGTCTGTGAAAATCATTTAATCAGAACATTTATGGAGAAAAACATAACTAGATCTTCCCAGATGCACCTCACAATCATAACAGTAAACAAGCTATGACAGTAAGCAGGATAATGCTTTAGGTCTTCTCATACATTTAAACTTAAGATTTTAACAAAATAAAAAGAAGTACTCACTGATTTTTGAAAACTCATTTTTTATATCTAATACTGTTGACTTTGGAGACAGCTGTAGAAAAAAAAAGAAGTTAATTTAAAATCACCCTTTTTATTCAATTATTACCCAAAATATGTGGACAAAATAGTAGAATTAGGCTGTGTTTATTCAATGTGATAAGTCGAATCATGTAACCATTAACATTTTTTAAAAAAGCAAGATGTACTATATTTTGCCCTTCATCCAGGACTATCTATCTATTTGAATCATAAAGACTATTAAAAGTTAAAATCTGATTTTAAAAATTGGCGTGGGGTTGCAAAGAGATTTATGTGGGGTCGCCGGATAAAACAATAGTCTAGGAGAAGTAGTGAATATTTAAAATTATATATAGCTTCATATTTTTCAATTTGTGTTTTCAGTGGTGGTCAAAGTTTCTGCAAAAATCATTAAATATAAAGTTACTATAAACATTCAATTTACCAGTGAATGACCAAATTTTAAAATTGGTTGCATTGCAAGCTAACATTTATTTCTAAATATTGCTAGCTAAGCCTATTATAGGAAACAAAATTAGCAACTTACCCCACCAAGAGTCGCAACTGACTTCCCTGACTTGCTGTCAATCACGTTGACCTGCACATAAAATGATTAGGCATATTTTAAAATGTACCAGTCTAGTAAGCCCAACACTTTTAATTCACTTTTCCCAAACACTAGTTCTCTCTCAGATGGATAGGCCCTTCTTAAAGTCAGTATTATTTAACTGATGTAGCCTCCTCCTCCTCCCTAAAATTTGTAGCCCTAAACCTAAACTTGATAAATACCAAATTAAAATAATTAAATAAAGTAATATTGCAAACATGTGGCATTACTAACTTAATAGTGGTTCAGTGAAACTGAAGTGATTGCATGACTCCAGTGAATAAGATGAATCTACTTTTTATAACAGGGGTCAGCAGCCTGATTAAATTACCCCAAGCGAGGTAAAAATGAAAATCTTAAGGGTATTGAGGATCGCCATAAATAAATTAATTAATTTTTAGTGTGGTCCTTGTTACAAAATAAAAAAATTCTGACAACACTGCATCGTGCCGGTAATAGTGGAAAAACACCCAGCATGTTGTGGATAGAAGTGGCTAGACAGTTAGCGTAACTGTACATATTATCTTCTGGACGTTATTTTGATCTAGTCACCTATTTTTTAATCCTTTGCTCAAAGGTGTGAAGAGTGCAAAGGCTTTCAAATTTGCACATGAGAAGCAAGTCAAAAAGTTTCCAGCTTTTTGCAAGAACTTTAAAACAACCTACCTTTGAATACATGGACTTGACACTAAAATGAACATAAAAACAAAGACTGGCAAACACATAAATTACACCACTAAGTTAGTATCAAAATTGCTCTGACATCAAAAAGGTCCATTTGGGATATCATTTAGTCATTTTATCAAACATTACTGAACCAACAACGGTTCTCCAAAATATGGAGTTAAATTTTTTTTTAAAAAAGAAAGAGAAAAAAAAATCTCAAAATCAAATCATGAAGATTTTTATTAATTTATTTTGTCATTTATTTGGTAAAATTTGGGTTAGGGCAGAGGTCTCAAACTCACGGCCCGTTACCAGACATCAATGTTTAGTGTTAATGTAGCCCGCACGTTTTCCCCATTCTCATATCTATAAAGTTACTCTCCGTGACAATATCAGTTAAATCTCACTGGCTAGTTTAATTCTGATTTTTATTATGCATGTATAGGTTTGGATGTTGATTATAATAGTATTAACCGTTTTAAAATCGGATTAAAAGTTTTTATTTTACAACATTTTATGAGACAAACATGGCTAAAGTGTTGATTTGTGAAACACGATGGGAACATTGTATATACATTATATCAAAATTTTAAAAAAGTGGGTAATGCCCAAACATGATTGTGTAAATCGTAGCAATCTGACACAGTATCAAAGAATACCTATTAAAATTGACGCTAGTGTGTACAAGAGATGAGTAAGGGAAATTCCGAGCCTGACAGCTTGGTCACTTTCAAAATAGGGTTAGTCAAAAAGGCCTTTTCTATGATTAAAAAATAAATAAAAATTAATTCTCCCTACAATAGCCAAATGTTGCTCAGCTGTGTAAGAAGAAGTGCTGCCAGGTCTCTGGCAACAAGGAGTAAGAGGAAGTAAGTGAAGACTAGTTCTTGAGAACCCTTAATGTTTTTATTTGTTATTAATAAAGGTTGAGCAGATAGTAACAGTTGCACTTTATTAAATTTGTAATCGCTTTTTTGTGTGGAATACTTGATGCGGCCCAGTCTCACTCAGATTCTACCTCCTGTGCCCCCCTGATAATTTGAGTTTGAGACCCCTGGTTTACAGTATGGGTTTTGCCAAGAGTAGTCTCACTCTAAGTGCAGTGACATCACTTTGGGGAATCCCAACACAGGACCAATTGTAGAACCTGAACGATGAGTGCGATAACTTTCCTGTTCTTTACAGAGCATTACCCGCATCATAAACTAAATATAACGATCGATACAGATAATATGAATTATATTAACCCTATAACTGTCATAACGGCAGATGATCTGCCGTTATACCCCTTACTATGGTGTCATGGCCGATATAATTGGCAGTTCTTTAGCAAAATTGTCAATAAAAATGTGAACTGATTTAATGTATATTGTTTAAGGGGAAATCCCTCTATATGAGTTTGCTTCCTATTTCTGTTACTATCAGTGTATTTACTTGCTTTTATCAGGGACTTTTTTTATGATTAATCGTGTATGAAATTTTTTCACATTTTTTCACCACCATATGTCTGATGCTGGAGAGGGCCTCCCTTTGGGATTTCACAATTAACACAGAATTTCTTTATTGGAATTATTTAAAATATATCAAAATGAAAGCAAAGATATCAGAAATATTCCACATGCGAGTAATGACGGCATAGGCTCTAGCGGTCCAGTCATGTCGAGATAAGAGTCAGATATTGACAATTTTGTCCCTCAGCTTAGTTGTATTGTTACAAACAAATTTGTTTGGGAAAGCGTGAATATCGAACAGGAAAGACACATATTTGTTCCAAAAGATCTACCCCAAAGATATTTATGTTTGTATATGTCCTCGAGTATTAATCAATTGAATTAATAACTTCAAATAAAAAGAAATTTTTGAACTCATTTTGTGCCTTCCCCCTTGTATTTAGTATGACAGAAATTTGAAGGTAGTGAATGGGAAAATCACCAATTTCCGAATTTTCCATATAAGTAACTACAAATTGTCATTTTCTGAAAGAATATTGCTTCTAGTATATTAAAAACTTGATTTTTTGACAGTTTGACATTTTATGAAGTATTTAGGGTGGGTTGAATTCAGAAGTTAAGTAGTAAAATTTTACTCACTCTTTAAAGGTCAAGATCAACATACATAGTATAAAAACAAATTCTTTTCATACCAAAAGATACCTTGTCCAATGTACTTTCAGAAAATGTATACTTGTAAGGGTCTCTGAATTCATTTAGTCTGTGATTTTTGTCCTTTTTGACAAGCATATGAAATTGCTAAAATGGTTTGATGCTATAGAAATTTTTTCTTGACAGTTATATGGGTAACACGCTTGCTGATACCACAAGACCCAACACCAGTGAAAAAAAATATGTGCAATAAAAGTGCTGTCTTTTGATTAGTTGAATATCAAAGTACCTGTATGTTAAAACTTCTGTGACAAAGGAGAGATTACTGCTTAAATTGTGTTGGAAATGGGTGTCTGCACAATAGTTTAGGAAATATATGATAACTTGTGTTTCAGAATGAATTTAGAAGACATTTAAACCAGAATATTTTCCTTTGAGGTTTAAAAACCCGGTATAAGTGAACACAGACATTAATGGTGAAATCTTTTGAATATGTCGCTAGTATAGACAGAAGGTGACCTGGGCCTGGGGGAACCTCCATGACATATCAAAATATAGCCTATGCCTATATTAGCCTATATCATGGAACACATCACCGTTGTAACTGCTAACCCAAAATCAGCCTGTTTATTTGTAGTAAATGTGTAGTGTAGGCCTATTATATAATATATATATAATATATATTAATAGTGATAGCCTATGCCTATTGTTTAATATTATATACTATAATGTAGTACATAGGATAGGACATAGGCTACTTTTATAAATTATATTTTTACTCTCCTAATAAATTTAAATACTTGCTAATAAATTAGTCAAATAGATTCGGTCAAATCTAAATAATAAATTAAAATTAATTAAAAATTATAATTCAATAGCTCAATGGCAATTATTCTGATTAGTAGATTATGTTTACGCATTTCATTCTGATTAGGTCAGTCAATTAGTAGGTCTATGATTTATGATGAACTCTTTGAATTTAATAATTGCTGATTCACTCACTTCAGTCTTCAGTAACCCGAAATGAGCAGCAGTGAATAATTTCGACAACACTACAGTCTCAGTGTAGTGCTACGAAAAACAAATCATTCATCAATGTACAATCAACGTAAATCATCAAGACTCTAGTCAAGTCCAAGAAAAACTTCAAGTTGAAACGAACAGAAACACTTAGACTTAATCATTATTAAACTATTTTAAACAACTAGCAAGTCCAACTAACCGTCTAACCCAAATCCAAATGATAAGCGCAACCGCAATCATAAAATTAAAATACTTTTAAGATAAGCGTCAATATCTAAATGAAATTGTGTTATACTTAATCAAAACATTTCAATTTAATCATTTAGGGGTGTTAATGAAGTAGACTTAAGTAGATATAACGCCATGATACAAACCTCCATTTGAATGTTTCTTGCAGATATCAACCCAACAGGGAATCCCGGATGACCCGGAATAGGTTATGTTTTCTTCGCTAACGCCAAATGCACAAGCTTGTCGATTCTGTAACAAATATTCGATATGATTTGGAAACATAAGACAATTAATTACAAGTAGGCGCAAATAAGATCAAATTAAATTTTTACTAGTTAGTAAATATAATTTGACATTTTGGAATAACTTGATATTATTCGTAATCTTTAATAGTTTTTAGACATAGTTTGATTTTAAACAAAATGTTTAAGTAATCGAGTACTTAAAAAAATTATCATTATCACAAGGAAAAAAATTGAACGAAGACTTAAGATTCCCTATACACTTTTTCCTATAATTTTCATATGTTTAGTCTATGCATTTTCGATGTTCACAAATATAAAAGTTTTGATTATATTTTATAAAATTAAAATAATATCTTGAGCCATTTGGGGGCGCAAAAGTACATTTACTTTTTAATTATCTTAACATGTGATGATCCAAAGTACACATGACATGTCACAGCAGTAGTAGGTCCCTTAGTAAAATTAAAATTAATACTTCGAAATATATCCAACTCAAAAAAACGTCTTAGTTATTTTGTAGTTTATAAATCTTTAGATTAAATATAATATTTAATTTAGCCAAATTAATGCTAATATTTTTGGAATCAAAATAATTGTGTATGTTTCTTAAAATAAATAACAGTTTAAAATAAACATTAAAATATTTTGGATTTAAAACTGCACCTGACCTGTCGCGTAACTATGCTATCCCTCAAACGTTGCTATGTTTGCAACCAATCACAAAGTTGCTTTTAATGTCAACATGGTCTACTTTATCATGGCGTCTGAAGGTACAGAGAATAATGTATATTATTTTAAACTCGAATCATTTTGCTTAGCTGATTAGGACATGGACTTAGAATAAGTTGAAATATGAAAGGAAAATGACACATAATAATGAAAAGTGAATTATCAATGAAAATTAGTGAGTGTCTTCATTTTAAAGCATATTTTAAATGAATAAAGTCAGGACATGTAATGTAATTTAATAAATTTAAAAAAGAAAAAAAAAAGGATTAAATAAGTTAGGCCTTGGCTCTACTAATAAATAATATAAGTTGAGGCTATACTGATAGCTAAGTTAGCCATAGTTAACTTTAAATACGATAATCTTGTATTTATTATTTTCTTATAATACTAACTAAGATTAATTTTTATTATTAGTTTATTAGTCAATTAGTACCGTAATAAGACTGATATTCACTGATAATAAATAAAATACCCTAAATTCGATTCCTAGCCTATACTATATTGCCTATATGAGTATGAATATATTATATATTAGGTTTCACGATCCACAATCCTTGTCACAAATCATTTACTTGAGACAATACTATTATTAGTATTATGCTTAGAGTGGTGCTTCCTGCCTCAAATTTGTTTCTATTTTAATCAATTGAATAAAGGAAACAAAATTTATGTATATTATTATATTAAAAAGAAAAAGAAATTAACAATCATGATGTTATAAATATTGCTAGTGTCTTTATATTATGTATATGTATAGCTATAAAAAATATCAAATGTAACTAATTATTATAATTATAATATAATAATATATATGAAATTTTAATTTTTAACAAAAAAAGAAATGCATATCATTTTACTTTGAAAAATCAGTATAAGAAAGCGTTCATATCTGTCTATTTTTTTTAGTTTTGAAGAGTTTTATGTCCCAAGTAACCTGGTTTATCCAAATAATTTTTCAAAAAAATAGGTTGTGAAATGTCTAGAAAATTCTTGTGTTTTTAATTTTATTAGTATTTGAAATGAAAGTTGTTAATTGGTCCTACCTGTACCTTGTCAACATTTCTTAGAATGAGAAGCTTCAAATTTGGCTTAGTCAATGAATTGAGGGAGTATTTTTTTTATTTACAAGTACAAATAAAAAATCAATATAATTTTTAAATGATTACAAATTTAACCAAAAAAAAGTTTAAATTATGTCTATACTTATTCTTGATGCACTATTCATTTTTGACAATAATTTACTGCTATTTTCCTCTTTTTTTTACAGCACTCAAAGACAAAAATTCATAAAGATAAAAGTTTTTTTGTTTTTTTTTTACATTTGATCAAATTTAAAAGTGCAATTATTTTCATGATGGATGATGCCCTGGCAATGAACTGGAGATGCTATGACTGTAATATGACATTTTCCAACCCAAGCCTTCTCCAGAAACACAGAGCCAGATTTTGTGTCGGAGGAGGCTTGGGTGATCCTGACCAACTTATGTTAAGAAGAGGATTTAGATCAGAATTAGGCCCTGAAGCAGCAGATTTCCCAGATGATGTGAGTTTCATTTTCATTATATTTTCTTTTGATCCCTATAAAATTAGAGCTTACCATTTGAACTAAAAAAATACATTTGATTGTTCAGAGTTTTTTTTATTTTATTATGTAGACATGTCTACTATTAACAAATTATGTGTGTTTAGAATTAAAAATCAGTACTTAACTCATCTACCCTGCAGGTATAATGACCTGCAATAAAACATAAATAGCCCAGGGATTCTAAACCTGTGTTCGATGAATATTAGGGATTGGAGGGAAACAGGAAGGGGGTAAAATCACTATCTTAAAGCTAAAATTAAATATTCAGAAATGTGTAGGCTTTACTAGAAAACTAATGAATCATGGATTGCCATGAAAGTTTAGTTTGAATTTATGGTACAAAAATAGGGTATACTAGCTTTATAAAATAAAATATGTTTTAGATTTTTCTGGTGGGAGGTATATGATTTGTGGGTCAACTTGACTCTGTAACATAGTGACTTATGTTGTTTTTTTGTAATGTAATTAAAACAGCCTATAAATTTGATTGTGATATTTTTTGACTAGCCAAGACACTATGAGACTAGCACATTTGTATAATTGATGATTCACATGATTTTCAATGTAAGAAATATTTTTTAACTGTAATGAAAAGTATACAGTATCTCTACTTACATGTAAAATATGTGATATGTTAAATTTTCTCCAAGGAAACTTTCTGGGTAAAACAGTGTGCAGGGTTATAATAGATAGACAATAGCCATTTGTTTCTAATTCTCACAAATTAATTCATTTTTGAAAATATTATTAGCTTGGAACGTGTATATGTGAAATAATTATGCCTTGTCATCCATAAAAGAGTATTTGCTTTTCAGCAACAGTGTACTAGATATTTCCTTTTACCTAATCTGATTGCCGTCTCTCCCCTTACTCTCCTGATTAAATTGATTTACAAAATATAACTTGTCTGTGCTTTAATAATTTGTAATGAGTAGAAGATAACAGTTGTTTGACATCACAAATGACAAAGAAACGTGATCACGTCACTCCATTGGCTCCCTTTACAGGCACGCATTGAATTGTCTCCCTAACACATCCACAATATACCAACCATCCCAGCCTTCAAAACTGCACTCAAGACCCATCTCTTCCAACTGTACTATACATACTCTTTCTCACAGCCCCCTCCCCCAACCTCTAACTGATAAAAAACGCTCGAAGCTGCTGGGTGCCATCCATGGCTAGACAAGGGTAGATAGTGCTTGCGTGGGCGAGGTCAAGCTTTTTACCAATTGTTGTTTTTAAATGTATAATTTTCTGTAATTCCTCATTTTTATGTGAAGCGCAGTGAACCTAGCCCTGGGCTGGGGTAATGCCCTATATAAAATCACCTTAATAATAGTAATAATATAATAAATAATGAAAGCAGTCTGACGCTTTAATAAGCTGAGGTCTGTTCAGAAGTTGAACCAGCCAAAGGAATCACTCTGGTCAAACAAGGGGCCATCAATGAGATTTTTTTTTTTAAAGATAGCTTTGCCCACTAAACAAAGAAGGCAAAACAAACTGGTATCTGTGACATTCATTTTTCCTATCATTTGTTGTTGCGCTTTTTTTTTTGTTATGACATATAGAATGTAGGGAGCCCCAGTTTTGAAACAACTCTGGGCCCCAAAAATTAATTCTATGCTCTCTCTCTCTCTGGCTTTGACATGAATGAATTTCATAGTAAATTGATTTCACAATAAACGCTAACAACATTGACTTAACGGCATTAAATGAAAGGTGTGGTGGTGTTGTTATTGTGTACTTTTGTATCATTAGCTACTTCTATACAATGAGTCACTTTACTTTTTCTAATGAACTAATTTTTTTAAATGGCCAGGGCTATTAATTATGTTCATTCCTTATTGTCGTTCCTGTATGAAACAGGGTGTGAGTTCTAATAATTTCCTTCTTTGTCTGAAGATGGAGTCGCACAGCCTGTAAATTCAAAGACCCCTGAGATGATTTTAATACTATGTGGTGTGACAAAATGTGAAGAAATTAAAATAACTACTATAGTAAATAAATTATCCAAAAGTACCAAGCATGGGACCATATCTTACTTGTCAAAGTTGATTTTAATTTGTCACATAGTTTAATAAATAAGTTATTTGAACAAACTGTTGACATTTGTTGTTACATACAATTTGAGCTTTCTTCATGATGGAAAACTTTTCTCTGCAAACCTAGAAATATCTGGATGGGAAGGATATATTCACTGTTTTTAGCTCTCTCTCTTGGAAGTGGGACCCACCAAAAATATATATCTGGAATTTTTTATGAGTATCTAGATCATCTTTATTTTCTTTTCATATTAAAGTGATTTTTTAAGTGTATTTAAATATATAGTATATATCTACTTTTCAATAGTTTTAACATTGTTTTGTTAAAACTTAACTCTAATTGAGGTCATTCACCAACAGGATTTTGGTATTGAAAAAAAAAAAATTTGAATAGTGACCAAGGATTAAGGGAGGGCAATGATTTAAAACAATGTCTCAAACTACCCAAAGAGCCACATGTGGACAAGTTGATGACCCAAGCGCAACAACAACACATACATCACTTTAAAAATCATTGTCTCTTATTCCTTTATAAAACATGATCACTTTGTGGGCTGAAGGGTTGAGACCACTGGTGTTAAAGTTAAAGACAATAAAAAGGATGTGAAAAGAGAGCAGCTTGGAAAGGGAAACCCGGGGCTTGAATAATGTGAATCAGATTAGAATGAATGGTGATGAGTCTAAATTGAGCCTGCGGGGGGGGGGGGGGGGGGGGGAGAGAAAGAAGTAAAGGGAATCTTGGCGAGCGATTTGAAAAAATAGTCACAGCACACGGAAAAAAACATGTGTAAACTTAATTTGTTGCAATGGAATGACTTTCAACTGACTACATAAATTAAAGGGACTATTTTTTTTTTTAAATTAAAACTTTAATTTGAAGTTTATAGTCGACACCTTTGCCTTTGGCATGCACGACTCAATTTGAGGCTCTAACTTAGAAGATCCACTCTTGGGGTAAAAAAAAATGCTGGATTTAAGAACACTTTGAACTGGTTTATAGAAAATATTTTCAGGATCTCATAAAATGTTGATTAGCTTACAATTAACGGGAAAAAATCAAACAATTTCGCAAGATGTGTTAAATATCTTTTCAATCTCAATATACATTCTGAGGTGGGGTTATCTTCGGATAGGAACTTACAAGACACTTATAATATTTGCTAGGTTTGAACAAGCTGTCATTTGCATGCTTTCAAAACTTTTTTTTCCCGCTGAATTTGAAGAAACAAGTGCAAACACCACCCCCCCCCCACACCCACACATTTCACATTTTGTTCACTTGGTATTTGTATGACGTCAACCCATTTATTTATAATTGACATTTCTGTGATCAGCGAACGTCACCGATGCTAAAAATAGCCTGATTCCTTTCTAGCAGTGTCGCAGCTTTTGAGGCGCGCACTGACACCCTTTCGATTTCTTTGTAGCTTCAATGCAAACAGTTTATTCTGAATCCATCTCAGTCGTTTCTCTTTCACCACCTCCACCACATGACCTATAAATGGTGGTTTAGTTTTTGTTTCGGGTGAATTGTTTAAGAGATACGACACGACTGTAGTGAACAGTGAGGATTTTTGCTATCGCTACAAGCATAGGTCTATACCCGGGGTTTCTCAATCTGTGTTCCGTAAACCCCTTGGGGGTGGGGGGGGGTGGGGGGGGGGTCCATGAAAAGATGCCTGTCCGTGAGATGGATTCCATTCGTGATCTTATTACATGTATGTAAATACTTTAGTATAAACGGGGTTATTTGGCCTTCGTCTGATGGGGGGGGGGGGGGGGGGGGGGTGGGGGGGGGGTCCATGAAAAGATGCCTGTCCGTGAGATGGATTCCATTCGTGATCTTATTACATGTATGTAAATACTTTAGTATAAAAGGGGTTATTTGGCCTTCGTCTGACTGGCGACGGGGGGTCCAAGGAATAAAAAGGCTACCAGTGGTCACACGTTTTAGTGTAACATTGCTTCTTGTGTCAACAGCATAGACTTGCCGAATTAACGAGCACAGCCCTTGTCCTTGTTTTGTGACTCACGAAGAATCGCGTCCCAGGAAACCACCTTCGTTACCGTTAGTGTGCGATCCGGCCCCGGGGGCCAACCCGCCAACTGATCAACTGATAGTGCGCCCCCAGGACAGTCTGAGCGCCACCACGAGCACCAAGTGCGTTTTGGAGTTTTTGACATGATATTATTGATATGATGATCCATCCATAGGGGGGGGGGGCTGTTTTTAGAGGCTTTGGACACCGTTTTTGATCCATCCTTTCGTTTATTTCGAAAGCAAAAAAAAAAAAAAAAAAAAAAAAAAAAAAAAAAAAAAAATTACGAAACCCCTACAAGTATCAAATGTCAACAAATGTCAATATTTTTTCTTCTTATTTGTTTCGGTTATCTTGATAAGTTTTAGTAAAACTTAAAATGTGACAAGATAAATTGAAGTCTTTTCACTGACATTCATTGTTAAAAGAAAAAAGATAGATTAGTTGTGTATGACTATGATTGAAGTCTGATTCTTACTTTATTCTTGACATAACAATTGCAGTCGCCTGGGTTCTTATCCAAACTGATAAACCACTGCGTCCATGAAACTGTCTTTGGTGTCAGAAATCTTTTTTGCGATGCACTCTCATCGTACAGAGGCAGTCATCACTGGATGTTGAACCGACTTTCTGTTCAACCAGTTATCACACCAACTTTATGTTCAACCAAACATCACACTAACTTTCTGTTCAGCCAAACATCACACCACCTTCTGTTCAACCAAACATCACACCACCTTCTGTTCAACCAAAGATCACACCAACTTTCTGTTCAACCAAACATCACACCAGCTTCTGTTCAGCCAAACATCACACCAACTTTCTGTTCAACCAAAGATCACACCAACTTTCTGTTCAGCCAAACATCACACCACCTTTCTGTTCAGCTAAACATCACACCACCTTTCTGTTCAGCTAAACATCACACCACCTTCTGTTCAACGAAACATCACACCACCTTCTGTTCAACCAAACATTACACCACCTTTCTGTTCAGCTAAACATCACACCACCTTCTGTTCAACCAAACATCACACCACCTTCTGTTCAACCAAACATCACACCACCTTCTATTCAACCAAACATCACACCACCTTCTGTTCAACCAAAGATCACACCAACTTTCTGTTCAACCAAACATCACACCAACTTTCTGTTCAACCAAACATCACACCACCTAACTATTCAACCAAACATCACACCAACTTACTATTCAGTCAAATATTACACCAACTTACTATTCAACCAAACATCACACCAACTTACTATTCCAACTTACTATTCAGTCAAATATTACACCAACTTACTATTCAACCAAACATCACACCAACTTACTATTCAACCAAACATCACACCAACTTACTATTCCAACTTACTATTCAGTCAAATATTACACCAACTTACTATTCAACCAAACATCACACCAACTTACTATTCAACCAAACATCACACCAACTTACTATTCAACCAGACATCACACCAACTTACTATTCAGTCAAATATTACACCATCTTTCACTTTCTTCCAAAAAATGCTTCAAGGTTATACAGCTCTTCAACAGCTTGTTACATGTCCCTTGAATTAAGTTCAATTTAGTTTCACCATTTTACAAGCAAATCTACGTGTACTGGCTGAAATTACTGTGTCTACGATTAAGCATTTTGAAATAATGTTCTACAACACACAAAGCAGCCAATGTACAGCACACAAAGCAGCCAATGTACAACACACAAAGCAGCCAATGTACAACACAC